TGTAGTAAGTGCCTCTGATGATGGTTGTGTCAAACCGAAACATGTAAGGCAGAAGTGATAAAGAAGTGACCTACAAATTGTTACACTCAACAGACTTTTTATTAACTTTGTGATTGATAGTGTAACGGACCAAAAATGAAACAATTCAAAATAGAAATTACACATTTTTATCTGTTGAAAAATTGAGGTGCATCTTAAATTCATAGAATGTGGACCTTTCTAATTTTTTTCCATAAAAGCAACATCCAAAAACTATATGAGCCTTGAATTCAAAGGCATCTTATATTCAAAGTAATACAGTACTTCAAGTTAACATTCATATAGTTAAGGTGATAAAATTGCCCCTGATGTGATTTTAACACAATTGAGCATGTTGACTGAGGCAGTAACACTTCAGACTTATGGATGAGGTGCACAGTTCAAATCTTGACTGGGGCATTGGCCATCCTGACTGAAAGGTTTCATGGTTTTCCTCACTCTCTCCTGGTGAATGTCTGGTTAGTACCAACAAATGTTACATCAGTTTATCTCATTTGATGCAAAATTGCCAGAGCTACTGACAGTGTCATTAAGTAAGGCATAAATAAAATACATAAATTAATATAAGATTTCTGTATTTTTAATTGCAGTTACTATGATCAACTCTGTGCCCTGGAAGGAAAAATTCCTTCCCATGAAGTTCAGATTCCTTTTAAGTGGAAAGATGCTTTCGATAAGGGTTCGATCTTCGGTGGAAGAATTAGCCTGAGTAAGCATATAAATATTAGTTATATGCAGATGCAGTATATTAGTATAGAATACCCATTGACATACAATTTCAAGATACCATCTTAGTACTTCTTTTTTTTTTCAGCTGTATCATCTCTTGCATATGAGAAGGTCTGTATACTTTTCAATATAGCTGCCCTACAGAGTTCAGTTGCTGCAGCTCAGAGTATTGAAAATGATGATGGATTAAAATTAGCTGCAAAACTGTTTCAGGTATTTATACTCTAATTAATTCCTTATTGTGTAGACGGTTAATTATATATACCATTAGTAAAGTTCAAGTTAACAGCAACTTCTGACTATGTGGTTCTGTAAGTTACCATAATTTTGGTGCATAAAGAAACAGGATTAATGCAGAAACATAAAGGAAGTAATCACATATAGCTCATATATTTCATTTTAACTTACACGGAATTTTATTCTAGCAAGCTGCTGGAATTTTCAGTCATCTGAAAGGCACTGTTATGCTTGCAATCCAGCAAGAACCAACCCCAGACCTGAATCCAGAAACTCTTGGAGCATTATCTGCTCTCATGTTAGCACAAGGACAAGAAATCTTCGTACAGAAGGCAATACATGGTATGAGACTCATCTCTTTGTTTTATCTGTGATGTCTGTTCTTTTTTGAAAGTAACATTTTTTGGTGGGATGAAGAAAGTTGTATATATGATTTGAGATTCTCACAGTGGTGATTTTGAAGAGTTCTGTCATCTGGGATTAACACCATATAGTTGTTGAAAGTCTGCTGACGTTTCTGGGGAACATGTTACCTTCGTCATAAAGGTTGAAGAGTAGGCCAAACAAGAAACCAGCATGAAGCAGGCAGAGCCAGGTGGAGACAACATATTCCTGCAGAATATCAGATGACTTCCAGTGGACTGTCTGGTTATATCCAGGAACTTTTCAGAACTGTATATGTTCATGTTATTTCCATTTATCATGTTGTTTCTCAGTTAGATATGTGGGTCATTTTATGTGACGACAGCAAGGCATACACATGGAAGTCAGATTCTCTGAAAATTGTTTTCTAGAATTTTATTTATGAACACGTTTTCTTATTCATTTTCCACTGAGGAATAATTAGCTTGTGTTAAAGGAAGTGCAGCAGCCACTGAGAATTCAGCAGGAAGTTTCATCATTTGTTATATAAGTTTCTGTACCTTTAACTTCCCCTGTTTTTTCCCCATTTGCTTTTTTAGTCAAATTATGTGTCGACAACATTTAACAGTATTTCTCATGAATAAACATGGTCAGTTATAAGTGGACTCCATTGTATAGTATGCTATACTTCACACATCCACATCAAGATATTACTACTTCTCATAGAATACATATGATGACTGAAACAAAAGACAGCTCATATGTGACCCTCTTGACAGTTCATCAGTATGATAATCTGGAATTCTGTAATGACAGTGGTAAATCTGTTAAATTGGGCTTTAACATTGGTTAATTGTTGATGTTAATGTGTTTTAGTCATTACATTGTATGGGTGGAGGCAGCATGTATCCTGAGAACATAGGCAACATTGCCCCGTATTTACATGGTGTAACAAATGAAGAAATGGCATTAACATCAAATGAAAAAAAAAATCTAGAGCTTGCAAAAGTTATGTATTCATATGTAGAAGGATAAGGCAGTGTATTAACTTATTCTGAAAGATGTTCACTCCAGTAAATTACATTCAAGATCTAAAAGTTTGTGATGATGGTAAACTGTTACAATTAATATGATGCTGGACATTATCCATCATCTTGTCTGTTCTTAAAAAACCGTCTAGTTTCTATTAAAAACAACTTTTCGGGAACTGAAATCTGTCCCCGTCCTCAGGTAAAACCTACTCAGTTGGGTCCAATAGACAGAGCTAGCCCTATCTCCGGAAAACTGTGCCAGTTTCAGAAGGGGTTCATAAAACAAGCACAACATAATCCATCTGTGAGAGCTAAGAAATATTGAAGCTATCATATTCGAGGCTTAGCACCAGAGAAATATCTAGAATGAAATCATACCGGGAGAGAAGCAATACTCCTTGTGGTACCAACATATGAAACAAATAGTTACCCAAACCAACTACACTTGATGTCGCTGTAGTCTCTTGATTTCTGCTGTGATGATAGGGGCCCAGATGGGAGAGATATCCACACTGGGTTGACTGATTGGATGGTCCAGCAGAGACATGTGGGCTGATTCCTTGTATCTTCTATATGTGGTGTTGGGTTCGATCTGCAAGACCTTCGCTTCATTCCAAAGAATTTTGTGATCTTCCTCGTATGCATGTTGGGCCAATTTAGACTTTTCCAGCAAACCCTGTGTCATATTATATTTGTGCTCCTTAATGCGTACTTCTAGGGGTCTGCTAGTTTCACCGATGTAACATCTGCCGCAGTCGCAAGGGATGCTATACACACACTGCTTCGTTTTCTGGGCATCTCTACTGGGTCCAGTTTTCATTAATGTACCCCGGAGTGTATGTTTCGTTTTGAAGATTGTTCTAAGTTGAAAACGGTTCCCGATGCGTCTGAATTTCTCGGCGATACCCTTGACATACGGAATGATTACAGTGCCCCGGTATGTTGTGTCTGAAGAGGGACGATTTATTGTCGCTGGCTTCAATACAGAATCCACGAATTCTTTAGGATATTCACTGAGCATCAGATCATGTCTTATGTTTCTGATTTCTGTACTAAAATCCTTCTGGTTTTGACATATGACCTTCGCTCTGTTGACCAAACTATGAACAATTCCCCTTTTTACGTGGTGTGGGTGATTGGACTTGAAGTGAAGATAATGACCAGTATGAGTAGGCTTTCAGTACACTTTGGTGGTCAGTTTTGGACCCTGCTTCATAACCAAAACATCCAAGAATGGAAGTGCATTGTTAACTTCAACTTCCATAGTGAATTTGATGGTAGGTCTGATGTTGTTAATATGTTGAAGAAATTTCTGTAGCTATTCCGGTCCATATGGCCATATCACAAACGTGTCGTCGACATATCTCAGCCATTTATCAGGCTTGTATTCAGCTGTGTCTATTGCTATTTCTTCAAAATGCTCCATGAATATATTACTGACCACCGGAGATAGTGAGTTTCCCATTGCGCTACCTTCCTTTTGCTGGTAGAACGTATCTTCAAACTGGAAGTATGTGGTTTTTAAGCAGATGTCCAGTAGTTCCATCACGTCTTCAACTTGTAAAGGTGAGCGTTCTGGGAAGGAAGAATCCATTCTGAGTCTATCTCTTATGATTTGTAAGATCTCTTCCACTGGTACGTTGGTGAACAGACTAACAACGTCAAAACTTACAAGGCAGTCTTCTTTTTGCAGGTTGATATCCTGTATTGATTTTATAAAGTGTTCAGAATTCTTTACGAAGGAACCTGTGTTTCCAGATAGAGGATTGAGGATCTTATGGAGGAATCCTCTATCTGGAAACACAGGTTCCTTCGTAAAGAATTCTGAACACTTTACAGATATTTCTGTGGTGCTAAGCCTCAAATATGATAGCTTCAATATTTCTTAGCTCTCACAGATGGATTATGTTGTGCTTGTTTTATGAACCCCTTCTGAAACTGGCATAGTTGTCCGGAGATAGGGGCTAGCTCTGTCTATTGGACCCAACTGAGTAGGTTTTACCTGAAGACGGGGACAGATTCCAGTTCCCGAAACGTGTTTTTAATAGAAACTAGATGGTTTTTTAAGAACAGACAAGATGATGGATAATGTCCAGCATCATATTAATTGTAACAAATTACATTCAGTTCCTAAAAATTACACAACCAATTGCTGCTCGTCAGCTATTTCTGTTGTATGTCTGATGTAGAGTGCATTCAAGGAGTACATCATCACATACATCCATGTGGAAGCTACGGCAGACATGGAATTCACCCTTTGAAATTAATTTTGTATATAATCCTGTAAAGTTGAGTTTTGGTATGAATGTTTTTTTGTGACTTTAGATAAGATGAAGGATGCAGTAATTGCCAAATTGAGTTCTCAGTGTGAAGAACTGTACGTGGAAGTATTGAAACAATTTCAAAAGGAATTACTCAGGCCTCTGTGGGATAAAGATTGGATTCCAACTGTAAGTATATTCATTGGTTACACAACTCCAATGATATGCACTGCCCCTCCTCTTGTTTTTTTTTTTTTTTTCTTTCTTCTTTGCTTGAACATCTTTGTCTGGCTACTAGTCTGTGTATTGTAGTATGGTAAAGCAATCCCTTTAACAGGCCGTGAAAGCCCATAGGGTTTTGAAATGTGGAGGTTTCAACATTTTGTGTAGACAGTAGGCTCACAGATGGCAGTGAGGTTGTTAGCCTTACGCACTGGCTGCCCTTTACCACCCAGGAAGATTTCTGGTACTGATTTCTGTTAGAGGCTGAGTTGACCCCAGGGCCACAGTGCAGCTGGAAGGATTAGGTAAATTGAAAAAAAAAATGCACCATATCAGAACTTGAACCCATGACCTTCTGTCTTGTAGCATAGTGCCTCACCCAACTATACTACCGCGTGTCCCACATCTTAAATACGTGGATTGAAGTCTGATAGTAGAAAAATACAGGTCACTGGATGTATGTGACAATGGAAACCAAAGGACTGACAAGAATATACCCAAGGAGGGGGTAGTGCCAGTCTATAAAAAATGGAAACCCTTAAAGAGTAACTACTGAACAACTAACGCCATGGAGTAGAGTCCTTGAGAAGTCACCAGTTGTTCACTTAAAGATTTCCCACATTTTATTTAATCTGAAGGTTCATTATCATATTCAAAAGAGCTCTTCAATGGTTCCTATTCTGGGCCAGATCAGTGTAGTCTGTACCATCTCATCATATTTCCCTAAGGTCCATTTTAATATTATTGACTCACATCTAGGTTTCTTAGTGATCTCTTTCCTTATGTCTTTCCCACTGTGGCCCTGTATGCATTCATCTTCTCCTCCCATGAATACTGCCTGCCCTGTCCATTTGGCTTGATCATTCTAGTTATATTTGGCAAATAGTACAAATTATGAACCTCTTCATTATGTAGTTTGCTTCAACTTCATACCATTTGATCCTTCTTTGGTTCAGATATTCTCAGCACCCTGTTCTCAAATACCTTCAGTCTGTGTTCTTCCCTTAATTGTAGAGACCATGTTTCAGTAATTAACAGTTGAACATTATAATAATAATAACAAAGAAACAATTCCTTGGCAATCTAAACACCAAAAGGTAAAAGAAAATAAGGAAACCATAGCACCTGTTGGCATGACATGAGCCCCCTGCCCTCTAATAAAATAGGGCAGCCCCAGTCAAAATTCATCCAGCAGATACCAAACCCAGTTGCTACTGAGAAGGGATCAGCTGAACTGGGACATAATTTCAAATTACCCAGCCACTGGTGCTGGGTTCACATGATCTGGCACATAGCATATTGATTCTTATGCATTCTTTGTTCAGAGTGCATCAGTAATGTGACAGCATAATGGGAGAGGTAAGTCTCTGTGCTTAAATCATCTCCAAAACTACTGAATGGATTTTGATTAAATTTGGCATATGAGGATCTACGTCAAAAGCCCATGAGTGAATTTTGTTGTGGTTCATATTGCTCTTCTTAAGCTCAAATTGACACTTTGTAACATTGCTCAAAAATTGGTTCTTGAAATAAAATGTACAACTTTTATTTGAAACATTTTGAACAAATATTTAATGAATACAAGGATTAATAATTTATCATTATATGTGTCATATCTTTGGTATAATTAGTGTTGTATCATTGATTTTGTTTATGCCATAAATGTATATTGAGGCCTTTGAGGTACAGAAAAGTAGCAAAGATTTAATTATGAAAAAGTGTAGACTCTAATGGAGAACACCTTGCTTTCTCTTAGTTTTGTTTCCCTTTTTCAGGTGGCTGGAAAGCAGGCAGCATACCATGGTCTCACTGAGTATTATCAGAGTCTTGTATGTAAAGCAAACAAAAGTGTTGGTGAAGAAATAGCAAGACTTGAAGTGAGTTTTCTGATAAATAGGAATTGTTTTGTCAAATTCATTTTTAATGTTTTTAGGGATAGATAAATTAATTTAAGGTAAACAAGCATGAAGTATATTGAATAAAATCGATTATATGTAAGTATATATACCCTGTGAATTCCATGTGAAAAATTTGGCACAAAATGTCTCTGACCATACTGTTGTGACACCATTTAGTTTTGTGGGTAGGCACAAACATATCAGGGGAACATGCCGCCATCTTGAGGACTGAATGAGTTTGATGAAGATGATGTTAGGTTATAGGAGGCAGGATTCCCATCTCCTGTTGCTGGCGGCCCTGAAAATTGCAGTATTTTCTCCTGTTTCCTAGTACACTCCTCCAATTGGCATAGATGGGGTTGTCCTCTACACCTCCTGAGGGACTGAGTCACTTTGACCCTGAAGATGGCAGCATATCCCTCTGATATGCTGGTATGCACTCTAAAGAGTACATAATGTTACAAACCATCAGAACCCAACCGAAACAGTTCATCATGAATTCTCATAACCTAAGTCAGACTACCTGCTATCCCAATCATGTGCCATGTTTGTTGGATGGAAGCATACGCACATGCAGCCAGTACACACAATGTGATGTTTCTGCAAAGGTACTTACAGTAATTGCTCTAGGGTGTGTACACAGTCTTTGGAAAACCAATGTGTTTGCCATTGATGTTGTTTATTTTTTTTTTGTAGCATGCCTTGGAATTGTTTAAAGCAGCACAACAAAGGTCAGGAAAACCTTCCTACTTTCAAGACTATGCAAATAAAGCACAACGGAATCTAACTGAAGCCAAAAAAGACAATGACTTCATATACCATGAGAGAATTCCAGATGTAAAATCCCTACCTACTGTTGGGAAGGCAATGTTAGCTAAATCTTTGCCAGTTCCAGAGAGACTGAGTCAGAACTTTAAAGGTAAGAAGGCTTGCATGCAGTATGTCGATAATCTGAGATGTGCGGGCTCCATTTTCATAGTTGATGAATAAGTTGAGCAAACAAGGGGCACGCATAGTGAAGGACTACTTTCTCTGCTTCTGAATCCTTGTGATAGAGGCAGTATATTCCTCTGAAACATTCATAAATTTTTACCAGACTACATAACACCACATTGCAGAAGATAGTCCATCACGCTAGTCAATGCTGTAGAATGATTTGACTTCACCATCCAGTGTTGTCTCAAATATATGTGTGTATATATATATATATATATATATATATATATATATTGTAACGTGTCTGGAGTTCGAATCTTGTGGGTCACGTGTGTAAGTCTTATCCCACTTCTGACACCAGTGTCACGTGTTTTGTGTGTCACGCTACAAATAAGTTCACGCCGTTCCAATATAGCGGATTTATTACGTTCGCTCGTCTTACACACTTTACAATCATCTGCACTTGCAGTGGTACAATCACTGCTCACAATAGCTGGGCGATGCTGGACTATCTTCTCCGAGGGCGGTTATCCCAAGCCTTTCTTCCCCGAAGGCTGATCACGTCTGGCTTCTTAGCTGTCTAATCCGAGACTGAAGGCTTCTCATCGAAGCTGGCCTATTTATACCCTCGCCGCTGCTAGGCAAATGAACCTTCTGTTATAACCATGGAGACGTTGCTTTGTTTGTCGTTACCGTGGAGATTCGATGTTCTCGATACAACAGCTCACTGTTGGAATTACAGTATCGCTATTGTTACTTCTTATGCAACGGTCTGTTCTAGCGTTTCCATAGAAGTGACTTCTGGATTCCAGACACGTTACAATATATATACACACACACACACACACACAGAGATCAAAAAGTCGCACACATCAAACTAAAAGTTGTTATAAATAGTATTGCAGGTAATATAATTATATCTCCTACCACTAGATGGTACTGTAGGAGTACTAACAACGAGTAGAAACACTATCTGGCGTGTATCAAATCATTCTACAGAAGACAGTAATCTTCACATGGAGATTATAAACATATTGACAAATATTACAGAACATTAGGTTTGTATGTTAAAAATTTTAGACATGACAAGTGCTGCCGATCTTTGAGGTCATGTCTGACAATTTTAATGTAGTTTGAATCTCTGCTGGTAATGCATAGAAGTGGATCATTGTTTTATGTAAGTATTAATTTATAAATCTTGCTGCCCTTACTGCATGGGTACAAGTATCTGAAGAAGATGTTAGAAGTTTTTTTAGAATTTTGTATTTATGTAAGAGAAAATACAAAGTTTTCTTCATTCACTTCTCCAGGCACTCATTCAGTGTGATAGTTATAGCTTTGATGTCTGGACACTTTCCTGTTCAAAATGTGCACTTTAAACATGGGATTTTTTAAGATTATGGTCTTGTGTGTTGTAACACTATATTCTTTGCAGGCAGTTTTTTTCTTGACTTACTCTTTGACTCTAAAGGTGGAGAGTGAAATATCAAGCTCTCTTTGACATACACAGTTTTACAAGCTCAAAGAGAAAATCTTGATAGTCACCAGTGTGACATTCTCAAATCCAACACAGAATTTTTGTTCTTGGCTACAGATTTGTTTGAAGAGCTGGTGCCTGTCACTGTTCATCAGGCTATGACTGCATATGATGGCAGGAAGACTGAAATTTTGAACACTGAAATAATGAAATTACGGGAGAGTACACAATTTCTTAACAGGTAAGCTAATATAGGAAGTTGAAAAATTGCTACAGGATTAAATTAGATATGTTTACAGATCAGAGAATGCTTGTTATCATTCAGTTCAGATTTTTTGTTTTGCTGTCTTGTAGTTTAAAATATACAAAACTGTTATTCTCTCTGTTGTTTTGTATGAGTGTGAAAACTTTGCCCCTCACACTGAGAGAAGAATATGGACTGATAGTCTTTGAGAACATGGTAAAGTAAGAAGAAGAGATTCCTATGCACTTAATTAACCATCCTATCATGAAAATGGGGGGGAGGGGGTAGAGGCATTGCTTCAAGAATTTTTGGTATTGGCACTAGATGGAGGTGAGTGTTTAGCTTCATGCCCTTGCTGCTCTAAAGAGACTCAGTACCCATTGGGTAGGCTAGGTGGGCCCCAGAGCTGGTCTGCAAGAGTTAAATATCTTGTTTCTGTGGGAAATCAAACTCCAGTTCCTCAGTTATCCAGCCCTTGCCTTAGTTATTATATTGATGGAGCTGTTATACATGTTTGGGAAGAAAATGCTGAGGAGAAGGGGAAAAGTAAAAGGAATCCGCAAAAAATTTCTTCATGGAAACTTCATCATTTTTCCCTCAGAATGGCTGAGTTTTTGGACTTCACCCATTGTCCAGTATTCTAAAACCTAGAGAAAACAGCGTTTTGGAAACTGGATCTGTTTACATCCTCAGGTGAGGGGGGGAGACACCTACTCTCTTGGGTCCCTTAGAAAGAGCTAACTTTAATTCAGTAATTCCGAGTATTTTACACCATTGTAAGAACCCTTTAAAATCTACTTATTCATAATTTGTACCTGTAGCCAAATATTATGGGACAAGTAACACGTACAGGAGAGATGTGTATGAAGTTTTGGTAGGAAAGGCTAAAAGAAAGACACAGACATGGGTAGGAGGATAATATTAAAATGGATCATAAAGAAATAGGATTTTAGGCTCTGGACTGTATTCATCCAGCACAGGATAGGGTCCAGTGGCAAATTCTGGTGAACCCAGTAATAAACCTTTGGGTCTCCTAAAATGCTGGATGTTTCTTGACATGAAGGACAACTTCATTCTGCTTCGTTTAGTTAAAGATTTTTTTCTTTTTATTTCAGTGTTCTGGCATCACTGAATCTTCCTGCCGCTTTAGAAGATATGTCTGGGAATTCACTGCCACAGTCACTTGTTGATAAAGCAGTATCTGTAAGGAGTAACGGTGGCATTCAGGAGTTGGAGAGAATGATGCGTGAACTGCCAGATCTTCTACAAAGGAATAAGGAGATTCTTGATGAGGTGATGTCTCTCTGGCAGTATATGCTTACTAACTTACGGTTTGTTATCAGCATCTTCAAGCATCTGTTCTTCCGCTTGCCACAGCACTCTTCACTGATGTTCCCAAATTCTGTGATATGCCGTTTCCTGTCTTGACAGTATAGTGACAGTGCTCAGGAAATCTTTCTTATGTGATGATATGGTGTGGAATCTTGCTTCTTTAGTTCTTAATGCTTTAATCATTCCCATGTATTCAGGACCGAAGTAAGTTGCTGTCTTTACAGTGAGTTCAATGCATTTGACAGATCAAGATTTATATGGTTTGATGAGAAATCAGTGCTGTGATCCATTTAACTACTTTAAACAACATTGTTATATGGGGGTGTAGGAGCCTCCCACATTGAAGCAAGCACCATCCAATCAGTGCGGACTACAGCAGCTGTATAACTGCGAGCAGGCTGGTCTTCTCTTTGTCGGTGGCCGGTTGACTGTGAGCTGGCTGGTCTCTGTGTTGTCAGCCAGGTGACTGTGAACTGGCTGGTCTTCCTTGCTTCAGTAGTCAGGTAACTGCGAGCCAGCTGACAATCCTAGCATCAGTGGCCAGGTAACTGCAAGCCAAACAGCAGTGTGGGAGGCTCCCACAGGGACGTTAATTTTACGTGATATATACATGATTTCTATTATATATGTATATTAAATTCTGTAAATAAATATCCTTGTTGCTTAATGTGGTATACAGGATTGATTAGTGGCATTAATTGCATTGATTATTGTCAGTACTGTGAAATTGAGTGTATGTTGTATCTGGTCTTTTTCTGTGATGCTGACATTACTGGATAAATGAATAAACAGTCTGTATAAGCCACTATGGAAATAAAAGCAACATGATGGCATGCACTGCAAACACTGCTGGATGAGTGTGGTAGCATTAGCAAGTAGACCATTACTTAAACTTACAGAGAAATAAGAAAAATTCAAACACCAGTCAGGAATATCAGTCATATTCTAACTTTATTACTCTCTCTTCACTCTCTGTGAAACTTTGCATATATTAAAATTCACATTTTGAATGAGATTGCTAAAATTCGAATACACAATGCAACAGGATTGTGCAATACAATATTAGAGTAATATTTGGAATGTTCTGGAACCTTAGGCAGTTTACCAAGCAGTGTAGATTCTGTGATATTCCCCCAAAATCAATCTTCATTCCATATGTACAGGTGCACTTGAATTTATGCGGCACTTGTGTCCAAAAGAAGTTGCAGAGGATGAAATTGAACATAATTTCCCAGTAAGACTCGCAGAAAATGTATTGGAATATTCTTGCAGTTGCTTAACCTGTCTTGTGCAGTACAGCACCTCATTTTTCTAATTTAAAGAGCATGTCATTTTAGTATAAATAAATTTTGTTTATAACAATTTACTCTACAAAAAGAATGGTAGACATCATTAAGATATGGGATGGCATAATGTCATCAAAACATGTGCAGAGAACCTGTGCCACCAAGTCAAAATCACTTGCCTAGTTGTCCTCGGGCACTTGTATGCATGCACACGCATTCTCTCTCTCTCTCTCTCTAAACCATTAAGGAACATGTTAACAAAGCGTACTTAAGCATTGTTAAATAGTTCTTAGATGACAGAAATGGTTTATAGTCTGTATTGTTCGCATCCAGTTGTGTGTCATGGTTTGTGATACTCTGGCCATCAACACAGCACATATTTCAAAATAAACCAATTTAGTTGTTTACATTGGTTCTATTTGTTTTATTTAATAACTGCTACATGTTTTGGTCCATATTTTGGACCATCCTCAGGTAGTTTCATTAAATACGTCTCATATTAGGATATTTCAATAACACGAGACGTATACAAAAAAACAAACTCCTGGGTTTTAGTCCGCAAGCACCTTTTTTATCTAGAATAATTTTTTTTCAGCTTCTTAACAAAATGTTTTCCAGCTTTCATCTTTCTTGATAAATTTCTTATGCAGACCAAATTAATGGAGATATTCAGTGTGGATTTTGATGTGATAGACAAGCCACTAGTTAGGTATATATGCATTTGATAGACACCTGAGAGAAAATCGGGGTACAATAGGACAGTAAATCAGCTGGTTATATATTTAGTGAAGCCTGTGATTCTGGAGGGAAGTATTTTCCAGCATCCTCATTGAGATTCATTTGGTTAATGAAAATGTGTTGCAGAGTTCAATTACATTCATGAGAATTTATTGTAATTGTAATTTCTTTTTTCTTCTCCAGACTGAAAGAATGACTCGCAATGAGAAAGAATCAGATGACCAACTGCGTGAGCAGTTCAAGGAGCGTTGGACCCGTACTCCGTCAGACAAGTTAACAGAGACGTTCCATGCCAATATGGCTAAATATCGTGAGATCATCAACAATGCCATGCAGGCTGACAAATTAATTCGGGATAAATTTGAGAGCCATCATCGAGGTATCGAGTTGTTGAGTAAGGGTCCGGATGATTTGCTTGCTTTTGTACCATCAGCAGGGCCTGGAGGAAACAATGTAAAGAATAGCTCAGCAGTTCACCAGCTTAGGAAACTCATGGAAGATGTAAGTTTTAACTCACATCAGTTGAAATTAGCTTATTAACGTAAGTCAGTCTCAGTTGGGGCACCAACTATTCTGACTGAGGTTCATAGTGGTTTTCCCAGTACCTTGAGCCAGTCAGTGTTAGGTCATGAACAGTTCCTTTCATAACCCATCCATACATTATTCACTATCGTCCAAGCCACTTGATGCTATATAGCCTCAGTACTGGCTCTGTTGTTAAGTAACGTACAAAAAAGAAAAAGTATGGATCAAGTCATCTTGCCCCAGCTTAAATTCTGCTGCGGACATGACAATCTTGTCATATGCAGTGTTCAGAGGCAGTATATATATGTAAAAAAACAGCATCATGACCATGGATACTAGGGCTACTGTGTAGTATTAAAACTTTTATGTTCATGGTTTCTGCATCTGTCACAAGGAAATAGTTACGTATAACAATACAGAATGATAAATATATTGAATATGGAGGTTTGACTGATGCGTATTTAGTTTAGTTCTTGTTTTTCCACGGATTTAATCAGTTTAGGTGTTGGATGTTGTAAGCCATTACTGGACATAAACTGAGGAAAGCGCACTCATTTTATGTCAGATTTTTTCCATATATATCATGTTTCTTACTATAATGGAGTTCTTGTTATAAGCTATACCCATACTATTGTATGATATTAATTTTACAATTGGACAGGTGGAAACCATCAAAGCAGAACGTGATACAATTGAATGTGAGCTCAAGTCGGCAACAGTTGATATGAAATCGACATTTCTCAATGCACTGGCACAAGATGGAGCCATCAATGAACAAGCCATTTCTGTGGAGAGTTTGGGCAGGGTGTTTGGACCTCTGCAGCGTCAAGTGAAGGAGAGTCTACAGAAACAGGAAGCTTTAGTGGTGGATATTCAGGCATGTTACTTTGATCTGCAGCAAAACCCACAGTAATGGAGTAGGTTCAGAATTAAGAGTAATGTCCTTCTGGGATGTGTGACTGTGTGATCTGGCAGAAGCTCAATTATGTTAGTTTATTGTTAGTTTATTTATACCGGGCTACCCAGCATCACATCCTTAGACATCATGAGAATGTCAAATCTAGCATATCAAGATATTTCTGCATTTTGAAGGCGCTAGTTTTAGTTTGTTGAATCATGATCTTGTAAGAAGTGGTAATACTTTATGTACTTATATTTTATCAGACCTTTCTTTCCTTTATAAACCAAGTTGCCTGAAATCCTAGGAATTATGCTGAGTGATGGCCTGGTATAAACTGATTTTAACTGAATTGGTTAATTTAACCTGTAGTTTTCCTATTCCATGCTTATGCTTCAGAATGACAACTGTGAAACATCATTTAAATGATAAATATTGTCACATATCCTGGTAACGCCACAAGTAATTAATAGCTTCCAGATTTGGTGAAGCGATTTATTGGAGAGATTCCACCAGGTGGAACTATAGACAATTATAACACACTTAAATCACTTTACCTATAAGACACGAAACAAGGTCTTCAACGTCTGTTTCTGGGAATGATTTCTGTCACTCGTTCAGTTCCGCCTTCTTCCTCTGGCTTCTGTGTCTGAGTCCTTGCTTCTGGCTCAGTTCTCCTCTGCTGTCCCCTCCCCTCCCCTCTCCTGTTCCTGCTCTGCTCTGCTCTGTTCAACAGTCAAACGGTATAGGAGACACCTTGTTCAAGGGTTCCATTTCGCATTTTTCTTTGGAACACTAGCTAGCATATTGGTTACCACGGGAACTGAACTAGTTCTTTTTTTCGTTTTTGTGGTAACAGTGCATTATACATACATGCATTGTTGCATGTGTTGTCACCCAGACAACAATGCAGGAACGTGACTGCCGAGCCATTGTCTAGCAACAGACGACGCCCTCTCTTACTTAGATATTCCAGCTTTTAGGAGGCATGCCACAAAATTAAGTCTTCTGGAATGTGACATCATGCAGTTTGTTAAATAGGTGACAAAGTTTCAGAGATGGATGCTGCTTCCAGAATGTTGATACTCTATGTGAAACTACATGGTATCACATGCCAGCAAACCATACTCTTAAAGACTGCCAGGAGCTCTCACTGTTAAATAAATTTGTCTTTCTTTAACATAAGTCTGTATAAAAATATTTTTATAATAATGAGGGAGATTATTAGAAACAGTCGTTTCATTAGGCTAGAAGGGAGAATTGAAGAGGGCAATCCACCATGTAGTTCTGGGCATTGAATTAGCCATAACAGCACCAGAGGCTTTAAATCAACTTAAATAACCTGAGGACATTAATAAAAAAATTAATATTTTAGACTATAATTACTGTAACTGATACATGAGGTTGTGAATGCATTATCTTAGCAATACAGGCCTGTATGGTTGTCCTCATAGCACTCAACATAGGATCAACATCCACAGTAGCATATAAACACTCAGAATGTGAACAGAATTGATCCACTCTCATTGGCTTCCTTGGCTACACTGAAAATTTCAGTTTGGACTCCCCTCCCCCACAATTTTCTGAATTGTTCTGCATGACAGTTGGTCTCATTTAATGTAAATCAGAAAATTCATTATTTGATATAAAATATGTTATTCCGTAATTGAATCTTTAGGCTCAAAATACAGAATTCTGTAAAGAGAAGTCTGGTGCCGGAGCTGCTGCGAACAGGGAAGCTGTGCTCAAGGAGTTGGCTGCAGCATATGATGCCTTCAATGAACTTAAAGGCAATCTTTCTGAAGGAACAAAGTTCTACAATGATCTTACACAGGTAATGCAGTCACAATAGTCAGTTGATTGATTATGCTTTAGGGATGGTTATATATAAGCAAATTGACAGAATCTGTGGAAATTATGGCCAGCTTCACACAGACAGTTATTCTGTTTCAGATTTTGGTAACGTTCCAGAACAAGATTTCGGACTATTGTTTTGCTCGAAAGACTGAGAAGGAGGAACTGATGAAAGACTTGACACAGAGCATTGGACGTCAAACTTTTGGTGCCACTCCAGCTGTTCCTGGCCATCATGCCCAAGCCCAAGGTATGTACATTTGTGTGAATGCTGAGTCATTGTATGATGGATTATTTACACGCACATTATTCAGTTAGTTATTGGAGAGGGTGGGTTTCCCCATGCACTTAGACCAGTATTGGTCCATTGTGCTTCCCTCTATGATATTCTACCAGTCTCTATACCCTACCGATAATGGTGCATACCATCAGTCCCGCCGAGCAAGCGAGTTCGGCCACTTGCTTGGCGGTGTCTATAATGCTTCCCCCATCTATCAGAGGCCTTAGAGACTATTGTTGGGCAGGAAACATCCTGGAATTTGGCTCAGTGATCTCCTTTGGAGATATGAGGTTCTTATACATGCCATAAAGTTACAACATGGGACACACGGCTTAAAGTCCCTCCCGGAGGACTTGTACCCTGAATTTTTCCGCCCTTAAAAATTCGACGACCTCCGCCGGGTATTTGAACCCGTGTACCACGAGTCATGAGGTGGGAACGTTACCTCTAGACTACGGAGGCCGCCTTCATAATATGTACTTGTATTAACTCTTGTTTGCTCCCCTAGCAAGTGCTGGTCGTTTACCAGTTCTTTGGGCAGATTACTGTGTTCAGCCTTGGTCAAATAGTAATATAATTAAGTCCATGGAGGTGAGTCCTTGAGAAGCCACCAGTCACTCAGCTGCTCAAGGATTTCCCAACATTTTATAGAACCCAAAGGTTCATTACCATGTTAGCGGCCTCCGTAGTCTAGGGGTAATGTTCCCACCTCATGACTCAAGGTATGTGGGTTCAAACCCGGCGGAGGTCGTAGAATTTTTAAGGGCAGAAAAATTCAGGGAACAAGTCCTCCAGGAGGGACTTTAAGCCATGGGTCCCGTGTCATAGATTTACGGCACGTAAAAGATCCTCATGTGTCTAGGAGACCTCTGAGCAAAATTAGGCAACAAATTTCCTGCCCAAGTAGTTTCCAGTGCCTCTGGTAGATGGGGGAAATATCAGGTACCGAGGGCCGACCTCGGCTGAACAGGACTGATAGCACGCACCAGTATCGGTAGGGTATGGAGACAGTAGAAATTAAAGGGGGACGCACAATGGACCAATAACTGGTCTAAGTGCATGGGGAAACCCACCCCCTCTAATACTAACTAACTAACTTCATTACCATGTTCACAAGAGCTCTCCACTGGTCCCAAGTCAAACAGTTTCAAAATGACTAGTGGAATACCTGCTGAAAATTCAACACAAAAATTTTCATAGTTCCCATCTCAACCTATGGTTCTCCACACGTAACCTTTGCATTGATGCACGTACGCACACACACACACACACACACACACACATACACACACACACACAAAGTCATTAGAGATACTTTGAAATCAGTTTCACTGAATTTGCATGCTATGAATTTGAAAAGTTTTGGAAAGACAGCTTGATAGAATGTCTTTAATAATACTAGTCTGGAGGTAGCTTTATCAGCATACACAAATTTCAGTGTGCACAGGAAAGACCAGGATTGCAAACAAATTTAATCCATAACAGTATAATGTTAAATAATTAACTGTGAACATTTGGAGTGTACATCATCTTGAGGAGGTATATATAGACCATTCCCAACAGTGTACACACCTTACAAGAACAGAACTATATTTCCCCAGACACTGGTCACAAAAGAGGTGTTATGAAACCATCTGGTGGTGGCGGTCATAAGCTTACACCAGCTTTGTGAACAGCCACACTGTTATCACGATTAAACTATAGTAGCAGTCAGTAGTCTAGAGGTAATAACTGAAACCATGTTAATATTAATTTGGCTGACATTTTTATGAAAATAAAATCTTTCTTTTCAGGGGGTAAGAAGGAGCCTCCACCGAGACCTCCACCACCCACTGCTACTTCTAGCAGTGCAGCCAGTGTTCCTACACAACCAGCATTGCCATACCCTACATACCCACAAGGGATGCCTGTTCCCTATGGAGCCACACCAGCTGCTCCTTACCCAACTTACATGCCTCCACTCCTACCGGCCAGCTACAACCCCTACAGTACAGCACCATACCCTCAACAAGGTGAGTCCAGCACACAGCAGCAGTGCTGTGTGTCCTGAATCCCAAACCATTTTGCCTCTGCCTCCCTCTATATGTTGATCTGTATTTGTAAAATGTAATGTTTCAAGAAAAAGGAACCAGTGCCTTAAATCTTATGATATTTGCCTAACCTAATATGATGGCTATTCGGAAAGTAACCTTCGTTCATTTTAGGTGACTAACGTAGGAGTGTGGGATAGCTCACGCATGCGAGATAGCATCACATGACTCATTGCCTTGTAAAACATCATGTAACTGGTCACCTATGTTTGTTTTTGTCCCTGCAGAGTGAGTTTATATATCCTGCAATTGATAATCCTGCCTTGCGCTGTTTTTTTCCTTATTATAAAAAACGTGAATGCTGCGGAAATCCATCATGTATTATGTGTGGCAGTTTACAGCCAAAATGTGATGAGTGAAGTGGTCGGCTGGCCAGCCATCTGAAGTGAGTGATGATCTTGTTCGTAGTGTTGACCAAAAAATTTGTGAAAGATGGTGTTTCACAATTTCAGAACTTTCGTATGAATTTCCACAAATTTCACACACCATTTTGTATGAGATTATCGCAGTTAGGCTAAGCTATCACATGTTTTCCACAAGATGGGTTCCAAAAATGCTCACGGGTTGGCGCAAAGCACAGAGAATGGTGATACCACAAAGATGGCGCTAAATTTCTCAGTTAACAAACATATCTGATATTCTCTTACATGCAACACTTCTTTAAAAATTAGTTTAAAAGTTACTACATACACATACTGAGTCTTTTAAACCTGTTTAAAACCACATTGTACACTACATGTTTCTCAGTCACACTGTATGAGTAACAGATGATGAAACCTGGGTTTCATTTGTGAATGTTGACACCAAAGAGCAGTCAGAGCCGAGAAAGTTTATACAAATCTTGTCTGCAGAAAGCAGATGACAGCTGGTTTCTGGCATAGGAAAGGAGTGGAGATGATGGAATTCATCCAACAAGGGACCACAGTAACATCTGAAGTGTATTGTGAAACGTGAAGAAGACTGCATAGGGCCATTCAGAACAAAAAGGTGTGAAATGCTGACATCTGGTGTAGTGCTCCTCTATGAGAATACACATCTCTATTCAGGTGCTGCTCTCGAGCACTGCTGGAGCATTTCAACTGGGAGTTGTTCGATCACCCTCCTTACAGCCCTGCTCTCACTCCGAGCTGCTACCACCTTTTTACCTATGACAACACTTCACCAGTAATGAGGAGCTGATGGAAGGTGTCAAAATGTGCCTGCAATCACAGGTGGCAGACTTTGACACAGGCATACAAAAACTTATCCCCTGATATGACAAGTGCCTCAGTTCTGGCAGTGACTACGTTGAGAAATAGCTTATATAATAATGTTTTGTATACAATACCTCCCTCTCCCCCACCCCCTCTCATTACTTGTTTTGTTAACAGTTCATTGGAGGTTACTTTCAGAATAACCCTTGTATGTTACTGGGCAGTTACTTAAATAAGTAACTTTGAGATTAGTTGCTGTGATATTTGATAATAAAAATGTTATTTGCAATGTGGCACGTTTAATCTTCTGTTCGTTGATGCATGTGTGTTGTTTGATTTGTTAGTAAAAATGTTGAAGTCTGAATTCTGTCTTAACCCTTCGAAGCCTTAAATTCATCTGAATGTTTAAAAATTCAGTTCTTACCTCACAAAAAAAAATGTTTTCTCCATTCCACAGAGCAGTTTGGTAATGCTACTGAAAGAAGTACTCCTATTTTGAGAATCGCATAAACTTATAAATACAGTGGGCAAACTGCAGGGTTCTTGTATGCTAGAGTAGTTGGAGTAACCACTGTGCTATGGAGGGTTAATATTAATATAGCCTTGAAGATCATTTTTAAACTGCTTAGGGGATTCCAAATTGTGTGCTGTGGAATATGGATAAAGGTGAATTTCAGTGTTAATGCTAATCAGTAAAGTTATTTCTGTCAACATCTCATATCCCAAAATGGAATGTCTCCATTCTTAAACTGGGAGTTTTTGTCAAGAATTTCAATGTACATTCCTATTTCAAAATTTTGTAATAGTCACTGAAACTGAAAAGCTGTTCATTTTAATGACCTACATGTGTAGTCATGTATTATGTTATGGACTATATTTGTCTGCTTCCTAGATAAGAATGAATCTAAAATTACTGTCTAATGCATGGGTACTGGAGTCTGGCATTTCTCCAGATTCTAGTGATATAATTATGCAGCCATCTTCCCCAGTTTCTTGAATGTTTTCATTTTAAACTCGTCTGAATGAAATTTGCAGTGTGCAAAATCACTACACTTTCCATAACATGCTTATATGAAATTGCCTTGAAAGAAATGCTGAAATGTAGAACCCTAAATTGGATCCAAAATTCTAAATGGGGTTTCCAAGTATTCTTATCCTTGTAAGATGGCAAAGTAAATAGCACATACCCCCATATTATGAAGGGATGTATTATTGGAAGTGTGTTATATCATAACTCTATTTTTCCATTGGCTCCCATGTTGTAAATGGAGATGCAATCTAGAGGAAATTTCTTTAGTCCACAGTTGTAATAAAAAGCACTTTGTTGTCCATCAGAGTAATGTCAGGCACACAAAAATAGACTTAAAACATATTTAAACTTCTTTCTCAGCACCAAACCTCCTCAAAACAAGGCGTTCCACACAAATGTACAGTAAACTCTTGCTAATCCAGTTACAGTTAATCTGGATTGAAATATGAGTAATATAGAAAATTCTATTCACATTTGAGTGCATGCTTTAAAAAGACATACGGCCTTTAGGTAGGCAGATGAATAACTTGTCTGTTCACACAAAACTTGAGACAGTTTCTTCAAACCTGCATTATTATGTTTGAAAACAAGTACAATGTATTGTCTTTTTATAGTTTTTGAATAAAGACTGTACAGGGGTATTTTATTTGTTTTCATCGTTATATAAGTAAATTTCCATTTATTTATCTTCTAAGTTTTTTTGAGCCATCTCTTGCTTCCCTCATCCAGATTATAACTTAATCCTGATGACCCCTCCCACCAATTAATCCAGATGAGCGAGAGTTTACTGTAATTCCTTTTCATGCCCTACTAAGTACATTACTTGCGCTTGAAATTGATGACCTTTTTCCAGGCATCCCGAAATAAGGTTAATATTATGGCACAGTCTAAAATAAGATGGGTCTAACAACCATGCTACCAGCCATACTCTGTGACACTAGCATGTACATAGGCTATTTTGTGACCACGTGTGTGTCCTGCCTCAACACCAGTGCTTGTACATATGCAGTCTGAATTTCTTAACAATAGTGATTTCCTTAACAAAATTACTTCAGCCTGAATTTGTTGTTTTGCTTTCTGTGTTTAAATTAATTTTAGTATTTATTAAAAATCTTTGGTCCTTATTTTGAATGTTACTGCAATGTTTTTATAATTTCCATAACGGGGGGGGATGCATTGTACATAATATTCCTCTGATAAATAATCTTTGTAATGCTGGTTTTTATAGCTGTCAAGCATTATGTACTCCCAGTATTCATTTCTCAATAACAAAAGCACAATTTTTCCTAACAGTAATGCCAAGTACACTATGTCTAAAGTCGATTTCATACTTGTATAATTGTTTTGCACTGCACTGTTCACATCCTAAAGAGAAGGTTATGGATCATTCATTTTCTATGTGATTCAGGTTGTATTAAAGGAAAGTACATGATTAGTTCTTCCCAGAACTCCTTGTTATATCTTGGGATTTCAGTGGACAAATTCAGAAAACAGCTTTATGTGGAAATCGTGGTAACTCCTTTAAACATTGAAGAAAGCATTCTTCTTGGATGTGGCACTGTGTAGATATTGTGTTAACCGACGTTTCAGAGGAACATATCGCCTCCATCTTCAGGGTTGAATAAAATCTGTGAGCGAGGAATCAGCATGAGCAGGTGCTAAAAGATGGAGGTGATACATTCCTCTGAAACATCGGTTAACACAATATCTACACAGCGCCACATCACAGAAGGCTGCTGTCTTCATAGTCACCGCTGTGAAAACCTCAAATCTTCCTTTAAACATTATTTCCTACAATCTGAAATATAGAAGACAAGGTAGATCATATCCATTTGGAGATCATGTGTAGTCTGTATGTGACCTAGTATCAACGCTTATATTGTTAAAGATTTTCTTACAGTTTTATATGGGAGGCTTTCACTAAACATTGAGCAGTGTCGGTTTATACCCATGTTGATTCATAATGAAGTGTGATTTACATAGTGCTACAAATGGACTTCCCATGTTTCACATATCTGGTTTGAAGTTCAGTGTGGGGGACTTGCAACAAAAATTGTCAGGCAATTACAGTTTTCAGCCAGAGTGATCCAAAATAAGTCTAGTTTGCATAAGGACATAAATGGACTTTGAGAAGAATGGCATAAAATTCCGCTAGAGATTGTTTGAAACTTGTATGAGTCCATTCCATGAATGATTGTGGCTGTTCATTCATTCATCAGTAATTGAATTGTGGCTGTACTGAGGCAAAATGTGGCCCAACACCATATTAATAAAGAAATGTGTGCAGTATCTGTAGAGTTTCCATAATTTTGTCCAACACCTGTATAACTTACAGGCTGTCTCACAGATTTTGTTGAAATTCAATATGGGAGACTTGGTAATTTGCATTAGTCCCTCTTTTAATTGAGCTAAAAGAATGTCAGTTATCTTGTTACTACATTATGGAGCATAACCCTTTTCAGTCTCGATGTTTAAGCTGATATTTCCAGATGTGCATAGGTATGCAGGCTCCATGTGGACATGCTCAACTTGCAATACAGTTTGATTTGTATCACATAGCAGACTGGGAGGACCTGAATTGTGCTTAAGTAATTTTTAGAGCATGTGGTTTAGTGATGTCCTGTACTTATTTGTAGTTATACATAATAAGCATTAAGTAGATTTAATATTTAAACCAACCCCCCATCTCTAATCACTAATTTGTGACAGTATTTTTCAGAGAAAACTGGATAGCATTTCTGTAATCTGTGCATAACATTGAAATCACTTAACCTAATATGAGGGAGAAAATCAGTGTTGTACAGTGTAACTGAAGAGTAAATATGTCTTGTGCTTTTTGTGCTGCTTATTATATAAGTTGTGAGCTGGAATAGCCCACTTGGTATAGCGACTAGTGTATGGGCTGGATGACTGAGGAGTCAGGGTTTGATTCCCTGAAGTGGAGTTTTCCTCTTCTCCATAATGTCCAGACTGGCTCTGGGGCCCACCCACCTTCCTGTACAGTGGGTACCAGGGGTTCTTTCATGGGGGTTAAGGGACAGGGGCAAGAAGCTGACCACCCACCTGCATCTAATGCAGAGGTTAAGAATGGTGTAGCTATACCTCCACTCCCCAGTACATCTTCATGGTGGTGTGCTTAATTAATTAAGCCCAGGGGAATTATGTCTGTCATCAGGAATGAGTAAAAATATATATTCAGTATCTGTCGTCTAGTTTGTATTAGAAATGTGACCACAAAACGCTTGTGCTTATGGAATGTTCTCAGGTTATGGTGGTTTCCCTGCATACCTTCCATCTCAGTATGGTGGTTATCCCCACCCTCCACAGCAGCAACCTCCGCAAAATCGTCCATGGTGAATGGAGGAAAGGTGTACATACCGACCTGCAATAATGTTGCATCAAGAAAGTGCTATATCTTCCTCTGATAATTATTTTAATCGCTTGATTTAGAACTATAAAAATGGAAATAAAAGAAAGGGCTCAAATCAAAGGAACCATAATTTTGTTATAAGTTGATTACACAGGGTTTTGACTGTTTGTGCAATGTGAACATGCTGGTTCTTAAAAAATCGTGATTGAAAATAAATGCATTTTTATTGTCTGCAAAGAAAGGGTATATAAGGCTACTACTACTTTTACTTGGCTTTCCTAGGTCAGTACCTAGTGAAACAAATGCATCTGTGAAAGAAAAATCTTATATCATGGTGAGATGTATCATTAATTATAATCAGGACACTGATATGAAGTGCATGTAAATGAAATTATGTACAAGTATGGAGTGCCTAACTTGTATCTTGAACATAGCATACTCTTGAAACTTCAAAGACCTGCATTTTCCTATGGGAACATTTATAGCATACCAGTTTAAGAGGAAATATTGTAATAATTTTTTAAAAATAGTATGTTGTACCACTTTGTATTACTGTAATGTTCTTTCTTTTCTCAAAATATTATTGTATAATAATTATGTCTCACTTGGTTATGTAATTTCAACTTCCCCCAGTTGCTAATTTACATCAGTTTTCAGATATGCATCCCTTTCCTTCCCCTTCCCATCGGTATGAGTGATTGCCTGCTTGCAACTTGCATGTGTAACATGACCTCCACTCCAACTCTGAACATGAGGCCAATATGGTCCTATTAAAATTGGTATCCTTATCTACAGTATGACAACTCAAAAGATCGCAATTGGACCTGTCACCATCATGAAAACCTAAAGACTTATATCCATTGAGCTTACTGATAAGTCTTTCAGTTGCCAACTGCAAAAAATTACTCTCCCCTCCATAGCATACAGACCAGCTCAGGGGCCCACCTAGCCTCCTGTGCAGTGGGTGCTTTCTCCCCAGGGGTAAAGCAACAGGGGCATGAAATTGACCACTCCCATCTAGTGCCAATGTCAACGTACATGATGATGCTTAATTAAGCATAGGGACAACTTCACAATTATCTTAATGAGTGCTTCTTACATTATTTACCTTTGTTGTTTCACCTGCAAACTGACATGAAGATGATCACAATGAGTGAGCAGGGAAGGATGCAGAAGCAGGCATGGTCCAGTTTGAGGTAATTTAAGCACGTTTGGAGGGAGTGACAAAAGTTGCGGAAACATGGCAGTCAATCCTTTGACCAAGATTTGAACTGAATGTCAGAATAGATGTCAGACATGTTACTGCTGTGAAACCATACACTCAGAGATGACATGTGCAACAGAAAATGAATCTGCTGCCAACCTACAAGTCTCTGAATTATTATCTGAATAATATTAAATTTAATCATTACAGTCAGTAAGATCCAGCTAAGACTGGTAGTGGTGGTTATGAATGTGTAATAGCAATAGCTCATACAGATAATGGGACCCATTCTGGTAATATACTGATTACAGCAAATAGAATCTCATATTTAAATTTAGAGGTAAAGTATTTAACCTGACATACTACCTGATGGTTTCTTAAATGTCTAGAGTGCTGTGTTTAAGAACATAAATTGTATTTGTTACATTTTTAAAGGTGTGAGCTCCAAATAACAACTGGAGTCTATATACACACACATCTAAAGTTGACCCTGTACATAATTAAGAACCATGGCACGAAGACGAATGAGTTGGTAGAGGTAGGGTTCTACCATTCTTGTCTTTGGCACTAGACAGAGATGGGTGGTCAACTTCACACCCCAGCTGCTTTACCCCCAGGAGAAAAGCCCCCTGTACCCATTGAATTGGAGGCTGGATGGGCCACAAATCCAGTCTGAACTCTTTGGAGAAGAGAAAAATCTCTTGCTCCTGCCAGGAACCAAACCTGTCATTCAGCTCATGGCCTCTTGTATATATACACAGTTTACATTCCTTTCAAAAGTTAATAAAACTTTCCACATGTTCACTTTGTTTTACATTTACCTCTGAAATGTGGCATTAACTTTTGACAACTACATTATATAGGCGTAAATAATATTGCAACTTCATCCTAAATGCTTTGTGAATGCTTTCCAGTCAACACATGTCACATGACATAACTGTATCTTCTGAACAAAGCTGTTGATGCTCTAAGAATAAAGTGTGGATTTATCAAATGATGAACTTGACTCAGTCATTATAATCTGCTGAGAGAGGAAGCAAACATGGTCAGACTTTATTTGTATTTTGAGTCTGTGCTCCCACACTGTACTGCTGTAGTGTGAACAGTAAGGTTACATTTCCATGTGTAAAATTCCAAGAGACAATGCATGCATGAAGATTTAACTAATACTTGACAGCCNGAATCAGCTGAGCAAGATATGACAGAACTAGCTTGTTATTTATATTCTGCCAAGGGGCATACAACTGATGTCGACCAACTGGCCAGTCAGGTAGGCTGCTGAAGATGACAGAAGACAATTTTGATTAGCTGACTTCAATCCTACTTGCCTTCCAAGTGAGGCCAACTGACAGTTGCAACAAACAAATGCTGTCCATTCACTGGTGATATGACTGGCAAAGAACAGAATGTTGCACCCATTATAAATAAGGACTTGTCTTTATGGACGACGTGCATATTTTTCAGCCCTTATCAGTTTGTTGGTGGAGACCAACTAGTACTGCTAGTAATACTATATTTGGACTTTCTTGGTGACAAGACCTTCTAGGACATGATGTTACTGAATCTGAAATGTTTGTTTATATTCCTTATGTCAGTTGTCTGTATTATTAAATTTATAACATCACAGAAGTTACCAATTGTTGGTGGACTGTGTTTATTTGGCAGCTTGAGAATTATCTCTCCAGATGACTATTATCAAGTCATCTCTTGTCCTAGAATGAAAACCACTCTGTTAGCATGTATTTGGTGGTACAGGGTTCTGTGCTGGTCACGGTAGCCAAGCGGTCTAAGGCATATACTGTCTTCGCTCACTTACAAACCGGGATCGTGGGTTCGAATCCCACTCAGGGCATGGATGTTTAGTTTGTATGTGTGCGTTTTTCAAGGGGGGGGGTAGAGGGCTCTGTGGCATTCCCTTTGCTTTTGAGTCTGTCTCACAACAAAGATTTACACATTTGTCAGATCATTGTATGAGGGGCAGTCAAAAAGTTCTTGGAATGGTGGTATAGCACTCTAATGGCAGGACATACAGCAACACTTACCTAATCACCTTAAGAGCAGGACCCATGCATGCACACAAACTTGCTCCATCGATCCTGCCATTGTTGGAAGCAGCGGTGGAAGGCTTCTTTTGGAATCTTCCGGAGCTCAGCAATCACATTCGATTTCATGTCCTCCATGGTTGTGAAACGTGTCCCATTGAGGCCCATTTTCATAGTAGGGAACAGCCAAAAGTCACTCGGAGCGAGATCCAGAGAGTACGGTGGTTGAGTGATGACAGGAATGTTTTTCTCAGCGAGGAATTGCTGCACAAGTGATGTGTGGCTTGGTGCATTATTGTGATGCAGAAACTACTGTCCCTGCCACTTGTCGTGCCGCTTCCTCCAAACCGCATCACGCAACCTCTGCAAAACTTGCACGTAGAAATGGCCAGTAACAGTACTAACTCCGTGATGGATGTTCTGGATGTCGAAGGTCTCCCACTGCACTGGTCATCCTCTGACGTCTCCTACCCATTCTTAAAACGGGAAAACCAGTCGTAAACTGTGGATTTCTTTAGTGCAGTATCAGCGTAAACTTGCTGCAGGGCCAATAGCATATCTGAAGCAGATTTTCCCAATTTGAACACGAACTCATGTTCGCACACACATTGTGCCGAATGACCAACACGTCTAATTCAAACGGAACAGTAACGACACTGCACACTGAAACCTGTCCAGACCTGTTGTGCCTGCAAGCAGAGATGGTGAGCTTCCCACCACAACAGTGTGTGCGCTATCTTATCACTCATTCTCAGTCTGCAGGGGAATTCTGGCAACTTTTTGACTGCCCTATGTATAAGTCACACAATGAAAAGAAGCCATCTGTATATAGCTGTCTATATTTTTCCACATTTGTTGTACATTATTTTACCTTTGCGTGTGTACTCGTGGAAGCACAAAGGCAGAGATGATTGTGCAATACTTGAAGGAGGTTCTTGACGCCTGTCAGAATGCTGTCCTGAAGGTGGTTGCCACTGTGTGTGACATGGGTGCCAACAATGTCAAGGCCTTGACACTGTTGGGTGCTTCCAAAAGGAAACCACTCTTCAGATTTCACAACCAAGAAACTGCAACAGTGTATGATCCACCCCACCCTCTGAAGTGCACCCAGAACCTTTTCCTGAAACGTGATGTGCAGTTGAAGTCTGAGCATGTGGGCACCCCACTTCCTGTTATTGCTAAGTGGGACCACATATTGAAACTGTATGAAATCGACAAACCCAGACCGTTTCGCCTGTTGTACAGGCTGACAGACACCCACCTGAACCCCACAGCACAGAGCTCGATGAATGTGCGCTTGGCTGCACAGGGCATGAGCCATACTGTTGCAGCAAGCCTCAATCCTCTAGTGGCTACAGGTAAGCACTATATGCTTCTTTTATGAATGAAGTGACTGATAATGAGGACATATTTTCAAAGTTACTGCCTCAGAACCCAGTTGTAATCAAACAAATGTCATTATCATCTGACTTGAATTGACTTCTGAAACTGTATATCAATATACAAGTTATGTAGAATGTCACAAATACTGTTTTTAGGATAATTAAAAAATATTTGAAAAGCAGACAACACTATCAGTGATATGATTAAGGTGAATTAGGTGGCAAAGATTTTAATATGAGGAATAATGTAATGAAATGTACAAGTTTTGTATAACGTTAGTCATTTGTAAAGTAATGTGTTATTTTCCAATGTAAAGAAACTGCAATTCACCATGTAAGGAGGCACATTAACTTCTGTTTCCCCACCCCATTCAGGTGGGTAGCTGGTAGTAAAACAGTTTTCAGACATTTATTTGATGCAGGATCTGTGGGCTTTGGAACTTTGAGTTTTCTCCACAGTTATCCAGTTTACATATTTTTTTCATTTTACCAGTTTAACCTTTTACAGGATTACAGAATGCTTGTATTCATGATTTAGGTATCAGTAACCTGGAAGATGTCTGGGATGTAAAGGGAGGTGAATGCAATGGGCTTCTTGAGTCCATGTATGAAAAGATGTATGAAAACATTGACTTGATGCTGCTGAACAGATTGCTCAAGCTCATTGTGGACCAAGACATTGCCAATTATATGACAGCCAGAACCAACGTTGTTATCAAATCTAAGGTACAGTATCTGTGTGATTATGAATTTACCTGTCTGTTGATATTGTCAGCAAAGTTTGTTCATTTTCACAGATAATGAAAAAGGTGCTACAATTGTCAGTACACATGTTCTTGGTATCCTTCATAGTTATTTAGTAAACACTGAAAATGAAAAGAAAAACAAAGAAAATAAAAGTAATTTCTTCTGTCACTGAGTGCTAGAATGGCTCATACTGCTATAATACTACAACATTAGAAAGGTGAG